GTTTTTATACGGTGCAATCATACTGACCAAAACATTCGAATAACTGCATCAAAGGAATGGCGAAAACTTCAGAACTGCAATTGTTTTCGCGTTAAATTCGTGTTAACGTATTTTTTACTTAGACCGTTAGTTTCGTTTTTGCCCATTGCTGTCTGTGCAACATTGACGAATAACACTTGGCTTAAGTAAGGGGTCGTGGTGATTACTGAGTAGAGGTGAATCTCGCTATTTGTCACAAAGAATCGCGCCAGTACTTTCTGCCGTTTACATCTATTCATTGATATCGTAGATGTGGGTTGTTGTGCGGTTGGTCCACGTTATTTAAATGTAAATGTTAATGATTGATTGAGTTGGACTTTCTTTGAGGGGGTGGAGTCATGCCAGTCACACGTCACTTTATCGAGGGAGCTCTAGAGCCTGACTCCAATGTTTACAATGTGACCTGTTCCCTTGACGATCTGCCTTCCAAAGAGGTAATTGATCGAATAATTGTCGATTATGTCCTCTACCTCATTGGCAAGCACGGATCTTACGGTCTTCAGTTATTTCCGGGTAAGGAGGGCCGTACAGAGTGGCACAGGACAACTCAGTACATAATGCGATGCCTAGTGGAACGAGCGGCCGAATTCGAAAAGGCGTTCCTGCCTCGATTCGAGAATCGGCAAGCGCTTCTTCTGAAGAGGCCTGAAAACGCCGAGGTAGACTTTAAGCAGACACTGGAGGCGATTTGGAGCGATGGACTAACGAATTGGGGTCGCTTTTTGGCCTACATAAGTTTCGTAGGTGCCTACTGCTTGAGCGCATTAAACGCGGGCATGATCTATGAGATTAAATTCCTTGTTGAAGCAGCCGTTGATAAGCTTGAACAATGCATTGGCAGCTGGATAAAAAGGAGCGGAGGTTGGAGAGTTTGTTATTTGAAGCTAAAAGATGTGAACCTGCTAGAACTTTGAATGCCCTCTGAACTTGGAACCTTTAATTTTTTGCCTTCGATAAACTCTTCCACTGGGGTCTATGAATAAAGTGATTTCGCATGCGTGGCGTTTTATCGCACTGGTGTTCGGCGTCCACATGTATGGGACAGAGCGAATTAACATGCACGTTCAGGAAGTTTCCTTCGATTATAGTATTTGCATTTTCGTGGGGCATTGGTAAAACCAAGATTGAAAAACCAACTGCAAGAACTGCCTGGTCGAGACCACTTTTGTTGCGTAATTTCACTTGCTCCGCTTGTGGATGCATTAACGTGGAGAGTTAGCACCAGCCTGCAATTAAAGAAAGGATTGAATTCTCAAGGGCAATGCATCACATACTGCTCAGTCATCATAGGTGCAGTCGCAAAATGATGCGTCCCAAGGCGTCAGTGCACTTTAAATGCAATTTTTATACTATCCTCCTGACGTAAGAAATTGGAGTGCACAACCTTACGGGGCACGTCTAATGTCGGTGGTCTTGAATATCATCTCGTGCCTGCTTTGTGGAGGCGTGCGTAGGCACCCCTTGCTGTGGTGATCAATGGATCAACTGGCTCATTTTTTTCGTTTTCTCCTTAACTGGTACCCGATAACTGTTTTGTGAACGGTTTTAACCATTTAAAAGCATAGCAGCTCAAGGTGGTAAAGTGATTGCTAAGGCAACAGCGTTTGGGGCAAGATTTTAGAACATTTGAAAGCCGTCCCTCCTAGGTGAATAATGAGTGCAAGTAAAAATAAGTTACCAAATG